CTCTGGAAGGACAAGTCACATTCTTTTTCTTCTTTGCCTTTTTGAGTTGTGCTGTGATTCTGTGCTAAGTAGACATAAAAAAAGGGAATAATCTTTATGGGAACATCATGATGACTTTTATATAAAATCATATTCACATTTTTGTGAGGTATTTTCTTTAGTGTAGAAGTGGCAGTAAGACCCACCACCTTGTCATGTGTGAGAGTACTTACACAAGCTACTCGCACACATGTAACTGTGCCAATAGAAATAACTAATTCCTGCATGAGAATTATTTTCTCTGAGACAGCCATCAAAACCAGTTTGATCTACCAACTCTATCTTGGACTCCTCCTTGATGACACAAGGAGCTAGTAAAGAAATCAGAAGCCTTTGACAGTGGCTGTGGTAGGATAAAGACAAATGCAGTGAGGAAAGCAAATGCTAGAAAGGGTACAGCTGCCTTCTGTTCAGAATTGCGTGTCAACCAATAACTGGACGTACTAGTGATTTTGGCTTTCTTCTGTCATTTGCTGGCCACAGCTGAAAGTTCTGAGAGGACGAAACAAAAAAAAAAATAAAACTAAGCAAACCTTTCTTTTTTTATTTCCCTCAGGAGATCAGAAGAACATCATCCAGAAACTTTTGGTTGTGCCTGACAGGGGTGAAGCTTTCCAAGGTGAAGACTACCCAGGTGTGGCACTGAGCTATGGGAGTCTCCCTTGTGCACTCAAAGGCACCCTTTCCCAGGGGCAAAAGCCTCTTGTTAATCCACATTTAGAAGGTGGAGCATCAAGTGTCTCTGGCCATTGGCTGAACACGAGCTACCCTGCCAGGCATACAGCCACATTACCAGATAAACGAATGACACTCTGGGGGAAACATGCTGGCCAGCCAGGAAAGAGTTTACATCATCAAATGCATGAATCTTATGCCATCGGTTGCAAGCTACCAGCCAGCACAGACTACAGCACTTTAAGAATACCATATGAGCCTTCTTGGGATCCTGGTGCCTCTCAAGGTTGTCCTGTGCCCCCTTCTTGCATTAAAGCCCCGGGTCCAAGGAGAGTTGATATGCCCCCAGAAGAAGACTGGCGACAGAACAGCTACACCCCTCAGCCTGGCAGAAGGCGAAGGCTGCCAATACATGTGATGGATGGGACTTTCTCTTCTGCTTCAGAGGCACAAAGAAATACGCTGGCTCCAGCAGCAGCAGCTGCTACTGGCACCATGCAAAATAATGGCTGGTGAGATCCCATCCATTCCCTGTGCCACAATAAACTGCTCTGTGAACAGACTATATCTGGCTGTTGCCAGAGTATGGATTACATGGATACAGCAAACTTTCAATCAGTATCTGTGCCAGTTTTGTCTTAAAATGTAGCTATACAGTATGTGGAAACTAATTGCACTGTATTTCATTTCTGACACTACTGAACTGCTGTCTGGATGGGGAATCTTTAGCTATTCTAGTCCTGGCCTCTCCTAGCAAAAAAGTGCTATAGAAATGGTAAGCTTCAGGGGGCATTGGTTTACGGGTAAGTTCAGAAGTATGTGCATGTTTTCACGGAAGACAGCCACTAACAAAAGTACATTTTTAAGGACTCTTTTTTTCATGAAATGTAGCTTTGATAAATTCTTCACATAAAAAAACCAAACCAATGCTTTTGTTTTCCTCTCCTTCCTCTCTCCTGTTCCTTCCTAGGGGAAAAAACTGACCCACCTTCCAAGTTCCAGTAAATCTGCACTTGGTAGGCTGGCAGTTAGTAAAGCAAACCCAGTTTTCAGTGTGCTGAGATCTCAGGCAGAGATCACAGCTGTAGCTGCTGCTGAGGAAGTGGCAGGGAGACACTGTTCATCTGTAAACTAGAATTTTCCCCACTTCCTTACGGCAAACTAACAATGCTTCAAACAGAAAAGACTGTTAATGCTGCACGCTTAATTACGCCAATGTAAACACAGAATAAGTTTAACTATTTTAGTGTCAAACATACTTGCTTTTGTAAGTATTTTTCAAATAAATCTATGAAAATAGTTCTATTTACCTCTCTGCGTATGAGCTTTCTTTGCTGTTTGGCTTTACTCATCAGTTGTCCTGAAACTGCTGATTATTTTCTTACACACTAAGAAAGGAGTAAATGGTTTATTCTAGTTAATTTACAAAGTTTATGTAATATTTACTTATATTGGAGCACATTTCTAATTTTGTCCCTGGATTTGATGTGTTTCATCACGACTCTGTGCTTAATTTTCCCCCTTTCCCCTCATAATGGACAGTAATTAAGAGTGTCCTTAGAAAAGTATTTTGAGACTTCTTTCTTTAGGGGAAAACTACAGAATCTTTGCAAAATGGTAGTCTGTGCAGATTGGACTCTTATGCAAAAAAAAGTCATTAGAAATTATTGATGTAGTGAAAAGTGTCATTTTAATAAGAGTTGCACTCCAGCTCTTGAAAATGCTTTCAGGTGTGGTAGCTATATGGGTTGTTTAAAAATGTGGAGGGTTCTGTTAGATGCGTGTATTTCCAGTGGAACGGCAGCTGTGGTGGTTGCGGCCCAGCCTGGCAGTGGATGGTCTAGGCTGCCCTCTAGTGCACGGTACTCCTTGGTAACCTGCTCTCCTGTTGTTTTAGCTGAGGGTCTTTTAATTTCATGTTTTGCACCTCAGTGCTGGATGGAATTTCATCAGTTTTTGCTGTTTAGTCTGAGATTGAATCTCATTCATTTTAATAAATGTAATTTCTCAGTTTCTTGTTTCAAAATAATTGCTATTATGTCTGTTATTGTTACAATTCCTTTTAATTACATCATGATAAATTGTGTTTTACCTTTGGGATTATGTTCAGAGAATCATAGAATCATAGAATAGTTA